ACTTTGCAAATGTTGTGACTGGAGGTAATTTGACTTGGCTGACATTCTTTAAAACCAAGGTCTCCAACCATGGGCCTCAAAATCTACTCCAGTTCAGCTGAACAGGATTCCCTGCCAAAAGGTTTGAAAGACTTTATAATGATCCAGCTTTGGAGCGGGGATGGAGATCCTGCTTTAATGATCCAACCTTAGACGATTTGTAAAATGTCACACTAGAAAGTCAACAGTCAGGAAGGTTGAACTCTACCTCACAGCATGAATAGGGTAGATTTGCCAGGAACACTAGGAACCTAAGCTTTCACTGGCTCTATAAATCCTAAAACTCTGGACCATGTTGAATGTCCAACTTTAAAGTCTGATTTGAACTGTTCATCTAGACCAGAGTTGCTCAATTCCAGTCAAGAGCTACCATCTTTTAGCTTTTGGAAGCATCTATTGAACGCCTGAATTGAAAGACTCAATCCCCTCATTTAGCCCAGCAGAGGTGTGGAAACGCACCACTTGTTTGATTCAGCTGTTAAAAATGCAGTGCATCATAGTTGCTCTTGAGGAGCCCTGATCGAGACGGTAAAGCTTCTGATCCAAGTAAGTTTGCAACTGGATGGATTCAAAATTTGCTAATGGGAAGCTTTCAAACTTAAAGCAGTGTCATTTCAGCACTGTAAACGGTTTCTCCCTTTCAGCAATATGGAGGTCGCCATGGTACGAAATGGCATCCGCATCACCTGCCTTGGCTAGAGATGAAGTTGATTTACCGGTACATAGTTGTTGGATATAGATTTAAAATGGGTAGAACTTGCTGCCGAAACGAATGCACTTCCATTCAAAGTCTATGGTTGTAACTTAACTTTAAATGCTCGACGCGCCAGATCAGCTGATCTGAGAGCTGGCAGGGAAACGGACATAGCACTGCTGATGCAGAGCGCTATGATCACTCCTGAAATGGTTTAACGCCTAAATTAACTTCAAATCTAGAAACCTGCCGGCAGAATATGTTGGCTTTTATTATCCTG